TGCTGCTGCTGTTTAAGTTGACAGACTTACGCTGTATCTCAAGGAGTGGCGAAAGTGGAAACGGTCGTGGACTGAATGGCAGCAGCAGCAGCAGCAGCAGCAGTTCGGGTGTACGTACACCTCAGCAGCGCAGCAGCAGCGGGCGGCCAAAGTGGCGTCTTTTTTCGTTTTTTTTGCAACTTGGGCCTTAAAAAGGCCAAATAATTCAAATAAATGATTATTTAAAACAAATAATGATTATTTAATTCAAATAATGATTATTTAAAACTCAAATCTCGGAATTAATTGCATTAATTGGCATTTTGAGCTCTTCTCACGCAAAGTCCGAGGCAGCCGCGCCTGGTGCTGCAGCCGCGTCAGCGGAGTCACAAACTGCCGGCCCTGCGGCTTCCGCTGCGCGCCTTCGCTGCAGACGGGGTCGTGGGTCAGGCCCAGCAGCCGATTCAGCTGCAGCAGCAGCAGCAGCAGCAGCAGCAGCAGCAGCAGCAGCAGCAGCAGCAGAAGCAGCAGCAAAAGCAGTGAAAGCCCCCGAATAAGAGCCCCACGCGTGCATGCATGCATGCGCGCGTGCATGCATGCATGCGCGCGTGCATGCATGCGCTAGACGGAAGCAGACATTTGCACAAGTGCAGCAGCAGCAGCAGCAGCAGCAGCAGCAGCAGGGAAAGGCAGAGAGAAGGTAGTCGAAAGAAAGAGAATTGCATGCAAGCAATGTGAGCATTTATGCAATTTTTAATAAATTAAATAAATTAAATTCGAAGAAATAAAAAGACTTTTTTGCCCCGCGCACTGCAGGATCTGGGGTGTATGCGCAGACACCCGGGGGTGCTGGGGTGTACAGGCAGCTCCCCCGGCGAGGCGGGGCTCAAAAGAGAGAAAAAAAAGCGGCAAACGAATCAAAAGAATTAAAATAAAGAAATAAAAGAATAAAAATAACAAAATTGGAGAATTAAATGCAAAAATAAATGCATTTTACTCGGTATTTGTTCCGAAACGCGAACATCCGCGAAGTCTTCCGGCCCCGCAGCGCCCGCAAAGTCTCCAGCCGAATCGCAGCAGCAACAGCAGCAGCAGGCTGCGGAGTGGCTGAGTAGTCTTCCAGCCGCAGCGGCGGGCTTCTAAACACCAAACCCTAAACCCTAAACCCTAAACCCTAAACCCTAAACCCTAAACCCTAAACCCTAAACCCTAGGGCCCTGCGCCCCCAAGGCCCAGACCCTTGCGCGGCGAAGCGCCCAAACCACTCCAAAAACACCCCAAACCCCAAACCCTAAACCCTAAACCCTAAACCCTAAACCCTAAACCCTAAACCCCAAACCCCAAACCCTAAACCCTCAAACCCCAAACCCCAACCCCAAACCCCAAACCCTAAACCCTAAACCCTAAACCCTAAACCCTAGCTGCAGCAGGACTAACGAGGCCTTGGTCTCGAGTTGTTCTGCGTTTTGTTTTTGGACTTCTTTTTTCCCGCGTTTCTTTTTGGCGCGAATTGCGGTGTACATACACCCCAAAGACCCCAGGGGGCCCCCCCCAACCCTCGCAAGGGCCCCAACTTCGGGGGGCCCCCCAAACCCTTTTTCGTGGTTTGCCAAAGAGGTGTCCACGCTGCAGGGGCCCTGCAGCACTGCAGCCTGCCGCTGCTGCCACGCTGCGCTCGAGAGAGGCCCCCCTGCTGCTGCTGCTGCTGCTGCTGCTGCTGCTGCTGCTGCTGCTTGAAAACGCGGCCTCTGGGGCCCCCGGGGGCCCCAGGGGCCCCCCTGCTGCTGCTGCTGCTGCTGCTGCTGCTGGGGGTGGAGAGTCCACGCAGGCGGGCTGGGAGAGACGCAGAGAAGGCAGGAAACGCGGCGTTCAAGAAGCTGCTGCTGCTGCTGCAGCTGCTGCTGCAGCTGCTGCTGCAGCTGCTGCTGCAGCAGGCGGCCGCAGCCGCGGGCGGCCATTTGGCTCTTGCAAAGGAACTTGGCTAGAAAGGAATTGAAGACGAAATGCGATGCAAAAAGACCCAAAAATGCAGAAAAAAAAAGAAATTCAGCTTTTAATCAATTAATAAACATTAAAAAAAGATTAAAATAGATTTAAAATAAATAAATTGAATTTCATTCGCCGCAGCGAAGAGGCGGCGCTGCTGGCGGCGAGCAGCACGCTGGGGTGTACATCCAGCTCCCCCCCCCCGATCCTCGTCTAAAAACGCTTTTCAGCTCATTTTAGAATTCAAATTTATTTTATTTTTAATTTAATTCATTTAAAAAGGACTTTTAAATGCGAGATCGCCGGGCTGCTCGCCCGCCTCGGGGCTGCTGCTCAGGGCTGCGGCTGCAGCCTTTCTCGCGGTAAAAATCGCCACAACTGCGAATTTGAATAAAACTTTTCCGGAAATGTCTTTTTAATTCATTTAAAAACCATTTAAACTTCTTTTAAACTCAAAATGGAAAAGAATTCACTTCTTGAACGCCCAACTCGCGAAAATCCCGTTCAAGAAATGCCCGAAACTCCCTCTCCTTCAAATTTTCAGAAATCCCAAATTTGAAATTTTCGAATTTTTTCGTTTTCTCTTTTCGTCGAGCTGCAGTGTACGTACACCTCACGGACCCACTTGCATGCAACTCCTTCAGGGCTTTCAAACAAACTCAAACTTCTTCAAAACTTCAAAAACTTTTAATTCTTTAAAGCAGCAGCAGCAGCAAATGCGGCCGCCGCTGCTGCTCTCCTAATGCCTAGACAGAGAAGCCTCACCCCAGCGGGGGCCCCCGAGGGGGCCCCGGGGGCCCCCGGGGGGGCCCCTGGGGGCCCCCCGGGGGCCCCGGGGGGCCCCTCGGGGGCCCCCTGTGGGGCCCCCGGGGGCCCCACCGACACGGGGGCCCCCCCGAGGGCTGGCAGAGGGAGGCTGGGAGCTTTAGGCCGCCGCCGGGGGGGCCCCAGTGCAGCAGCAGCAGCAGCAGCAGCAGCAGCAGCAGCAGCAGCAGCTCCCTCGAGTGGCTGCTGCAGCAGCCAGACTTTTGCTACACTAGGGCCCAGCTGGGGCCCACGCACAAAGAGCAGGGGCCCCCCAAGGGGGGCCCCTCGGGGGGCCCCCCAGGGGCCCCCATGGGGGCCCCCATGGGGGCCCCCATGGGGGCCCCCATTCCCTGCTGCAGCGCCGCTGCAGAAAGGCTGCATTTGCTGCTGAGCCCAGCAGCAGCTGAAGCAGCACTCGCAGCAGGCAGCACTGTGGCAGAGGTGTGGGAAGCAGCAGCAGCAGAAGGCACAGCAGCAGCAGCAGCAGCAGAAGGCACAGCAGCAGCAGCAGAAGGCACAGCAGCAGCAGCAGCAGAAGGCACAGCAGCAGCAGCAGCAGAAGGCACAGCAGCAGCAGCGGCAGAAGGCACAGCAGCAGCAGCAGCAGAAGGCACAGCAGCAGCAGCAGCAGAAGGCACAGCCGCAGCAGCAGCAGAAGGCACAGCAGCAGCAGCAGCAGCAGAAGCAGCAGCAGCAGCGAATCCCCGAAGTCCCCGAGCTTTGTTCGCATTTTACAGAGAAACAGCAGAGGGCAGTTTTCTTTGCGGCGTTCAGCAGCAGCAGCAGCAGCAAGATCAGCAGCAGCAGCAGCAAGATAAACAGCAGCAAGATAAACAGCAGCAGCAGCAGCAGCAGCAGCAACAGCAGCAGCAAACAAAGGCAGAGGCTTTGCTGCTGGACCCACAGTCGCTGCGGCGCAGTCTGTGTCTTTTCCCTTTGCCGGTGCTGCTGCTGAAGCCGAACGACGCAGAGCAGCAGCAGCAGCAGCAGCAGCAGCAGCAGCAGCAGCAGCAGCAGGAGGCAGCAGCACTGCACATCGTGGAGCCGCTGGGCGGCGCTGCGGGCCCTGCGGCTGCTGCAGGCGCACTACGCAGCAGCAGCAGCAGCAGCAGCAGCAGCAGCAGCAGCAGCAGCAGCAGCAGCAGCAGCAGCACTACGGACACGGAGATCGACGAAAGCGAAGGGGAGCAGCAGCAGCAAAAAGAGACAAAGGAAAATAAAAAAGAAAATAAAAAAGAAAATAAAAAAGAAAATAAAAAAGAAAATAAAAAAGAAAATAAAAAAGAAAATGAAAAAGAAAAAAAAGAAAATAAAAAAGAAAATAAAAAAGAGGCTTTTATAAATGCTGCTGGCAATGTCTTGGCTCTTGCTGCTTCTGAAGAATGGGCCTTTTGGACTCCAAAAGAAAATAAAAATAAAAATAAAAATAATAAAAATAAAATTAATAATAATAATAATAATAATAATAATAATAATAATAATAATAATAATAATTTTAATTACAATTTCAATTATTGCTGCAGCGCAGCAGCAGAAAGGGGCTTTGCAGTGCTGGCCGTTGCGGTGAGCAGCAGCAGCAGCAGCAGCAGCAGCAGCAACAGCAGCAGCAGCAGCAGCAGCAGCAGCAGCAGCAGCAGCACGGGGCAGCTGCAGCTGTGGCGGCTGCCCAGCGACATAAGGAAACCGCCGGCGCTGAAGATGCTGCTTCAGGTGAGGGCTTTTAATTAATTAATTAATTAATTTAATTATTTATTTATTTATTTATTTATTTATTTATTTATTTATTTATTTATTTATTTATTTGTATAAATGCATTTACAGCTTTCTTCCCCTTTGCTGCTGCGGTGTACAGACAGCCAACTGCCACTGCCTGCATTGGGTTATGGGCTCGCGGCTGCTGCTGCCCTCTGCTGCATGCAGCAGCAGCAGCAGCAGCAGCAGCAACAGCAGCAGCAGCAGCAGCAGCAGCAGCAGTTTTGCTGCTCGCGTGGGCTTGCTGCTGGCCGTCACAGGGGACGGGGGCCTCTGCCTTTGGTCGGTGCCGCTGCTGCCTTTTCTTGAGACAAAGCTTCCAAGCTGCAGCAGCAGCTGCTGCTGCAGCAGCAGCAGCTGCAGCAGCAGCAGCTGCTGCAGCAGCTGCTGCAGCAGCAGCGGGAGCAGCAGCTGCAGCAGCAGCAGCGAGGCGGAAGACCTGCAACAGCCGAGCGCCTCAGAACAGGAGCAACAACAGCAGCAGCAGCAGCAGCAACAACAGCAGCAGCAGCAGCAGCAGCAGCAGCAGCAGCAGCAGCATGCAGACAATGAATTGGGGGCTTTCTCCAAAGCTCCAGATGAAGCAGCAGAAAGAAACTGGTCAGCAGCAGCAACCAAAGGAAGAAAAAGAAAAAAGAAATAAATTTAAAAATACTTTAAATGCAATAAATAAATAAATAAATAAATAAATAAATAATAAATTTTTATTTTATAATAAATAAAATAAAAATATAACAAAATAAACAAACAGGTTTGCATGCAGATAAACAAAAGGCAAGGAGTTCATCTGGTGCCTTGTGCTGCTGCTGCTGCTGCTGCTGCTGCTGCTGCTGCTGCTGCTGCTGCTGCTGGTCTTGTTCCTTGTGTTGCTGCTGCTGCTGCTGCTGCTGCAGGTGCTGTTTGCTTCCCGCCGTTTGGCGTTTTTCTTCGGCTGCCTTTCGTTTCTTTTGCTGCTGCGCTGCACCTGCTGCAGCAGCACCAGGAAAAAGCAGCAGCAGCAGCAGCAGCAGCAGCAGCAGCAGCAGCAAAGAGACAAATGAAGAAACAAATGAGAGTGCTGCTTTAGTGGTGGTGGCTGGGGCTACCGGCGGCCGTTTGTGCGTCTTCACTTTTGCTGCTGCTCCAGCTGCCAGCAGCAGCAGCAGCAGCAGCAGCAGCAGCAGCAGCAGCAGCAGCAGCAGCATAGGTGGGGTGGGGAGTACTGAAAAGTGTGCTGCAGCCTCTATGCAGCAGCAGCAGCAGCAGCAGCAGCAGATCATAAGCAGCTTATACATATTGTGCCTGTGCAGCCCTTTGACGGAAATTCGCTGCTGCTGCTTCTGCCCTGCTGCTGCTGCTGCTGCTGCTGCTGGGGGCGGGGGGGGCTTGCTGCTGGCTGCTGCAGCACGGGGGCAGCAGAGCCGCAGCAGCAGTTTGCTGCTGCTGGAGCTGCAGCGGTGCAGAGCTGCAGCAGCGTGCGGCGCAGCGGGGAGCGCAGCAGCAGCAGCAGCACCTGCTGCTGCTGCAGCAGCAGCAGCAAAAGTCTTCGAAGGCAACAGCAGCTGCTGCAGCTCCAGAGATATTAACCAACTTGTCTGGGGGCCCCTTTGCCGCTACATTTTCTGCAGCAGCGAAAATGGTGTTGCAGTTAACTGCAGCAGCAACTCCGTGCTGCAGCTGCCTTTGCGGCTGCTGCTCAGCTGCCTCACCAGCAGCAGCAGCAGCAGCAGCAGCAGCAGCAGCAGCAGCAGCAGCAGCAGCAAGAGGCGTCGAACGTCGAGGGGCGCTGCGCCTGCGGCGCGCAAAAGCAGCAGCAGCAGCAGCAGCAGCAGCAGCTGCTGCTGCGTTGCTGCTGCTGCTGTAGGCCCTTTCGTTTTCTTCGCCTTCAGCAATGGCAGGTGGGGCAGCAGCATTTTAATTAATTTATTTATTTTTATTTATTTATTTATTTATTATTTATTTATTTATTTATTTATTTATTTATTTATTTATTTATTTATTTGTTTGTTTGTTTATTTGCATGCAGCTTAATTCAGGCAGACACTGCGACACTGGAGGGGGGTTTGGAGTGTATAGGCAGCTTTCGCTGGAGCCTCGCAAATGAGACTTTTGGAGTTTTGGAAAAAATAAAAAAAGAAAAAGAAAAAGAAGAAGCAAAAAGAATTGCTGCAGCAAGAGCAGCAGCAGCAGCAGCGCTGCAGCAGCAGCGCCGCGCGCTGCTGCTGCTGCTGCAGCAGCAAGTCCGCGCAGACACGCAGCAGCCAGCAGCAGCAAACGCAAAAACAGCCATTTCTAGCAACTCCCCCCCAAACCAGCAGCAGCAGCAGCAGCAGCAGCAGCAGCAGCGGCAGCAGCAGCAGCAGCAGCAGCAAATCTCCGCAGAGTCGATGCAGCAAAGAGTGCAGCTGCTGCTGGCGCTGCAGCGGCTGGAGGAGCAGCAGCAGCTAATTAGAAAAGGACTTTTAATAAAAGAAAATGAATTTTGGAATTTAAAAAAAAATAATTTAAATTCAAAAATTCCAAAAAAAAGAAAAATCGAAAATTCCGAAAACACAGAAAATGAAGCGCCTTCCATCCTCGCGCCCCACAGGTAACAAATTTATTTATTTAATTAATTAATTATTTATTTATTTAAATTATTTATTTATTTATTTATTTATTTTAATTAATTATTTCTTTATTTTAATTAATTATTTATTTATTTAAATTAACTAATTAATTAATTAATTAATTGTTAATAAATGAAAAGGAATAAATAAATAAACGTGAGGCAAAAAATCATTTCCGCAAGTTCCTCTTTGGCTGTAAAACAATTCATTGTATACTTTTCATTTTTTATTTATTTATTTATTTATAATTAATTAATTAATTTATTTATTTATTTATTATTTATTTATTTATTTATTTATTTATTTATTTACTATTTATTTATTTATTTATTATTTATTTATTTGTTTGTTTTTATTTTCAGGGCCATTACAATTTGTCCTTTTACAA